AATTATCAATTTATGTTGAAAATAATTAAATGCAATATCATAAAAATCGCACACTAACGTTATAATATTAATGTCACCAAAATTGCAAAAAAATGATTATTTATTACGTATAAGTTATACAATTAAAATTGTACTTTGTTAAATTAAAAATTCAAATCTGTTAGCTGTTAGCATATTTTTTAGCATGGTTGACTTTATAAACTACAGCTATAGTTATTGTATCAATAATTGCAAAACTAAATTAAAATAATGTAAAGTAAAAGATTGATATACTGTACTGTATATTATAATTATAATTATGACAATTAATTATTGTATTTCGACAATACAGGGGGATGACTTTTTTTGCCGTCATGCCGTCGTGCCGTTGTGCCGTCGATCCGTCGTGCCGTCGATAAATTTTTAATATATGTTTTATATATGTAGTTAATGTGGAATTCATCGCTGAGTTCGAATCTAAAATTTAAAATATTTTATTTCGAATATTTTTCGAGTTATTCGACTTACAATGTGTTTTATCGAAAATTTTAAAGTGACGTAATTTATTGATATATTATATGATTTCGATGTAGAATTTGACGCCGATTTCGATCCTTAAATTCCCAATCGTTTACATCAAATATTTTTATAGTTATTCAAATTTTAACATTTTAAAATCGAATAGCTCGAAAAATATATAATTAATTTTGAAACCGAATTGATAATATTAATCAGCGTCAAATTCTACATCGAAATCATATATCCTATCAATAAATTACGTCACTTTAAAATTTTCGATAAAACGCATTGTAAGTCGAATAACTCGAAAAATATTCGAAATAAAATATTTTAAATTTTAGATTCGAACTCAGCGATGAATTCTACATTAACTACATATATAAAACATATATTAAAAATTTATCGACGGCACGACGGATCGACGGCACGACGGCATGACGGCAAAAAAAGTCATCCCCACAATACAGTCGATACTAAATTAACAATGGTCGGAACATTGACAACTTAAAACAACTGCTCAAGCAATTTTATGAGTGGACCAAAAGCAGTTTAGCTCCGCGGTTACTTTGTAAACTCACACAGTCACAGTTTTTGTGCCCACTTATAATAATTACTGGTAATTAATCTAACAATAAGATTGTAAAGTCGCTTATAATAAATGGGAGAGTATTATCTTATACTTCATATATTATATCATGTGTTAAATTAAATTAATTAGTATCTATTATAATACATTAAATAATTAATATTTATTAATTCAATCCTATCCTAACAACTGAAAATGATTGATTAAATTGTTTACTTCAATTGTTTAATGAATGCATAATTTATAAAAAGTTATTTTCACATGTTAACGACTTAATAAGTGACTTTATAAAATATTTTTAACAGGTACAATGTTATTTCAAGTGCTAGTGCCCGTTCCCTTGGGTAAATGAACATGCACATTTTCCAGACTTATTATAGCCAAGATGATAATTAATTAAACTGATTTACATATTGAGATGACTGTAAATTCTGGGATTTCTATAAAGAATATTCTCTGAGCACAACAATACATTTCTTAGCATTTATTCATTATCTTTAGTGTATTTCATAACAATTGGTAAATCTTATTCACAATTCAGTATTTAAGTGAATGAAAGTGAAGGCAAAATCATAATGCGTTAAACAATTTGATTATTCATAATTATAAAAACAGTGTTTGAAATAAAGTATTGAGTTACTATGTGAATAATACATTATTAGAATTCTTGGGCAATGATTATGATTTCTATTTCATCTCAATATTATAAACTTATTGTCAACATGCACCATGATAAGTATTTTTTGAGAGTACAACTCATTAAGGTCAATTAAACGAATACCATTTGGTGCAAAATAGTTAAGTTTGTGGTAAACAATTATAATCCACAATTTTGCTTCATGGTCAAATTGCTTCATTTAATTATACATATAATCGGGATTATAAATTTATATCTAATTTATCTAATGATAAACATGTACCATTATAACTTATAATTTATGAGTGCTGTTTATAGTATAATGACTTGATTTATTAATTGCAAACAATGGGCATAAATTTAATTGCTCGTGGTAAACAATTACAATCTAGAATTGTTAAATTATATTTTGTTAGATTTATTAAATTACAAAATAAAATGCAAATTTCCAGTTCATTGCAAATAACATGTTATGCCATGGTCAAATATGCAAAACAATATTTAACAAAATTAATTAAAATGTTATAATTGCAATTGTAATTTAAAATTTAAAACTTTACTTATAAACAATTAATTAATTCCGTAACCAGTACAAATATCTAAAAAAATAAATTACTTTTAAATTAAAATAAAGAAACAAAGATTATTTTAAAATAATATATGTTTTAAACATTTATAAAAATTGTAACTATTCTATCAAACTATTATACAAAATTAAACTTACCAATATTTATATATACTGTATATATTATTTAATTTAAAATAAAACTTAATTAAAATTATTCAAATTTAGTAAATTTATTAAATAATTTAGTAAATTGACCAAGTACAAATATATTATAGCGCTAGATGTGTGCAAAACTAAAAACAATGCTAACGCTTAGTGAAGCCGATGTGGACGTCGGCCGACGCGAGAGTTACCACAGATATCTTAATCTTTATGGGAACCGATGTCTTCGGTATTCTCAAAAACATATACTTCTGAATCAGATGTACGACACAGAGCTTGGCCTCCATTAGCGCCACTCGCATACCGATGCAATTGCGAGGGCCGGCGCCAAATGGCAAGTAAGTATAGGGCCGGATATTATGCCTATTTTTGTGCATAAATCGCTCAGGGTCAAAATTTTCGGGGGCGGGATAGTACTCGGGATTGTGGTGAATAGAATAAACAGGAATCTCTATCTCCTGACCGGCGGGCAAAGTAATACCGGTGTCGCCCAACACATACTCGGCCACCGATCGGCGCTCAATAGTGTTTACCGGCGGATACTTTCGCAGTGTTTCGCTGAGTACGGCATCCAAATAAGACATTGCCATCAACTCGTCGTAACCAATCTCTCCCTCCGAGTCTACCGATGTCATCACCTCATTGTATAGGCGCTGCTGTATGTCCTGATTGAGGGCCAATTCGTAGCAACAGTAGGTGAGTGTTGTGGATGTGGTGTCATAGCCGGCCAGGAAAAAAATCCACGCCTGAGCCACGATCTCATCGTCAGTCAGTGTGTGCTTCTTGGCTCCGGTGGTCAACATTTGCCGTCTAATCGCCAGTTCCTCTTCGCCTACAAACGGATCAGTCATATGTAAAATAGATTTTTATTAAATAATGTTCTGATGGTATCAAATATTAGGACAATACTCTCATTGAACGCATTCACATCGGCGGCCGCATCCCTGTCCCTATCGGGCCGGGCGTCCACCAAAAACTGTATGAAGTCGTTGTACTTGCGATGACTGTCCGGATCGGACTTACGCTCGTTTATAAGCCGTCGGCCGATATCCACGAAGAACTGATTGGCCGACTCCGGGACCCGTGATTTTAAGCCGATTGCTTTCACCACAAACTTTGGCAAAAGCAATACAATGATTGTGCGGACAAAGTCTACGTCCAGTATCTGTCGGGCGGACGTCACAAACGCCGACGAGTGGTCGTTGTGTGCGTTGGCATCGGTGCCAAAGGCCACGGCGGCGATCACGTCCATCGTGTAGTTGCCGCACATCTTCTTGAGGTCCACACAATCGCCGCATTCCTTGTCCACCACGTGTGTCATGAGTGCCCGCAAACACTGTCTGACCATTGGATACATTTTGCGCATTTTGGCCGAACTTAATGTAGGGCTGGCTATTGAGCGGATGCGGCGCCAGTTGTCTCCCCGCGTGTGAAACAAACTCTCTCGATAGAGAAAATGATTGGTCGGTCGCATCCGTCTATCGATGAACACGTGATAGTCCTTAACCATAATTGTCTTAATCAGTTCAGGTTTGGACACCACTAATATTGGTTGATTGCTATCGTATACTCTGCAAGAGATAACCAAATTAATATACAATTTGTATAATACAAATGATCTAGTACAAAGTAATTTAGTTATTTCCAGCTCTACACAAGTGATAATTGATTATATAGTGTAGTGGTATTACCCGTATATCTGGCCATATTTGCGGCCCCACTCGACGTCCAAAAAACATCGAGGTTTAAGCAGCCAATAGACAGAGTTACCTAAAAATGGTATCGGTTTTGGACCTTTCAAACCCATCTTGGTGAAATGACTGAATTGTCGACATATTTGCCTATTAATCCATGTAAATAATATAAAATAATAAATAATGAAAAATTTTACATCATTTATTGTGATTATTAAGTTTATATCTTAATTATAATTACCAGTAAAATATGGTTGCTATTAAGACGATTGCAATAGTGATCCATAAACCCAATGACAATTGGCTTAATAACAGTATTAAATCCATTGTTCAGATTAAGTGTATTTAATAATTTCATAAATCATTACTGATTGAATGCATAATTATAACTGTTAAATAAATTCTATGTACTTGGAAATATGAAAATATAATTCAAGATGGTTATTAAAATTAAAAATAATTTTAATTTAAATCTATAAATCTTATAATTATAATATATAAATAAAACATCTGCGGCAGCAATTGTAATCCTATATCTTACAAAATATTTGACTACATATCCTTTACAATTAAGGTTGGATAAAACAGCACGTGGTATATAATTTGGTTGTATTGCAACATGTTAATTTACAGATTCTATATTACTGGATGGGTTTATTATGCAATTATACTAAAATCCATTATAAATATACCAATACTAGACTTATCTAAATTATAATATAATTTTAAATCATAAACGATCACTGAATTGTTCTGGTGAAATCTGTGAACCACGTTATTTAAACGTAAAAATATAGATAAAACAACCAAAAATAATTGTACATTTATTATTAATAAATATATTCAGACAACTGCCTAACGCTTAGTGAAGCCGATGTGAACGTCGCCCGGAGAGAGAGTTGTGATTGATATTTGAAACTTTATGGGAACCGATGTTTTCGGTATTCTCACAAACATATACTTCTGGATCAGATGTACGACACAGAGCTTGGCCTCCATTAGCGCCACTCGCATACCGATGCAATTGCGAGGGCCGGCGCCAAATGGCAAGTAAGTGTAGGGCCGGATATTATGCCTATTTTCGGGCATAAATCGCTCAGGGTCAAATTTTTCGGGGTCGGGATAGTACTCGGGGTTGTGATGAATAGCATAAGTGGTAATTTCTATCTCTTGACCGGCGGGCAA